CCCGAGCTCTGCCGACACCAGCCCCTGAGCCGGAGCCTGCAGGTGAGGGGAGAGACCCGGGGAAAGGGCTGGGGCCGGGCAGGAAAGTGACTCTGCACCAATGGCCCCCCCTCGCCCAGCTCTGCTCCCGGGCAGACGGGGGTCTGCGAGTCCCAGAGCTGCTGCCCTCCCTGACTCCACAGGCCCTGCTCCCCTGAGCGCCTGCAGGAGCCGAGCCAGCTCCGGAAGTTTATAACACCAACGCCTCTGTATGTGTGTGTCCATTTGTGTGTGTGTGTGTTTCTCTTTGTCATTCGACTGCCTGGAAGCAGCCCTTGGGCTCTAGTTAATCTAAAATAAGGTGGGTTTGGGGAATAATCCGATTGTTGTTTAAAACGAGCTCTGCTATTCAGATGCATGCCTGGGGAGTTTATTAATGAGCCATACATTAGCTCTTTAATATGTGTACAGCAAAGCTCAGTCTGTCAGGTAATAATAATTACTAATTGTTCACATTACTCAGTGCATTAAGGTTCTTGCTTGGAAGGCACCATAGAAATGCAACGTGTTATTTAATTAACAAACTGGAGCTAATTTCAGTGCCTGCAGTTTTATTGGACGATCTGCTTGTTTGTTTTCCTGTTAATTTTATGTAATGAAAACAGTAGAGTCAGACGCAGAAGTCAGAATTTCAGAAGGGCAGTTTGTGCTGGGTAGGGTAGCCAGGGCCTGTCCAGCAGCACAGGCCTTTGTCTGAGAAGAGAGGTTTTGGAAAGGGGGTGAGGTTCGTTTGGGGATGAGGGAGCTTGTGTTGTTTGTTGAACATGAAGTCACTGTGCTTCTTGGTAGTTTTGATACGTGATGGCTTTAATCCTGCACAGGCCCTGCAAGTGCCTGAGCAGCCATTAATGGTGCAAACTGTGCCCTTTTAGTGTGTGCCCCCCCATTTTGCACACAGTTATTTTGCATGGGCAGATGGCATTTGTGCACCCATGCTAAAGCCACGAAGTGGGCTGTAGTCCACGAAAGCTTATGCTCTAATAAATTTGTTAGTCTCTAAGGTGCCACAAGTACTCCTGTTCTTCTTTTTGCGGATACAGACTAACACGGCTGCTACTCTGAAACCATGCTAAAATGGTGAACTTGTGTCAAAAAACCCAAACCACCCACGTAGGTTCAAGCCTCTGGCATGAGAGAGGAGTGACGCCATGGTCAGAGCAGGAGTGGGAGAGAGGACTTCTGGTTTCTGTTGCTGGTTCTGGTGATAGGGTGACCAGACAGCAAATATGAAAAATCAGGATGGGGGTGGGGGGTAATAAGAGCCTATATAAGAAAAAGACCCAAAAATCGGGACTGTCCCTATAAAATCATAGAATCATAGAATATCAGGGTTGGGAGGGACCTCAGGAGGTCATCTAGTCCAACCCCCTGCTCAAAGCAGGACCAATTCCCAACTAAATTATCCCAGCCAGGGCTTTGTCAAGCCTCACCTTAAAAACCTCTAAGGAAGGAGATTCTACCACCTCCCTAGGTAACCCATTCCAGTGCTTCACCACCCTCTCAGTGAAAAAGTTTTTCCTAATATCCAACCTAAACCTCCCCCACTGCAACTTGAGACCATTACTCCTTGTTCTGTCATCAGGTACCACTGAGACCTTCCCCCTCTGTGTCTCACTTTCCCATCTTTAGCAATGGAAGGAGGTTGGTCCCAGAAGGCCCCG